ATATAAGAAGTAAAGCCATGGTGTTATGTTGAGCTGTAGGGGACTCAGGTCAACAATTTCTGACATTGTCAGTCAACTGGAAGACCCAATACTATGATGGGATACTGGACTCTTTTAGAATATTTTGCTGAGTTTACATACCTATAGTATTCAAATAACAGAACTTAACAAAAAAAGGGTATACAGATGAATGTCCATTTTGTATCTGTGTATTCAAAGTGGTTAGGATAGACAGATAGTTACATTCTCTTAATGAATAGAGGGAATTGTTCTAATGGTGTTTGTAAGTAGGATATCATGTCCGCATCTTGTACAGCAATTAACCACTAGGACGAATGTATGCAATGTGTTAATTATTGAAACTGTCCTACCAATTTGAATTGAAACTGTTTCACTGCTATTTGTTTATCAATAAAATTATGGAAAAAAATTTAAAAAAAATTTCGGGGTTGGGATGTGGCTCACTATTAGAGCTCTTGCCTCACATGCGTATAAGGCCTGGGTTTGATTCACAATACCATAAAAAAAATATGCAACTATCTTATAAATGGTAGGAACTGTTATTTCCATATTTTCTGAAATGTAAACATATTAACAGATTGAATGAGTCTAACTTCTGTGCTTGTCCTACTACATAGGGAGAAAGGATTCTGATTAGTGTAATATTAAACAATAATAGTAATAGTGGTCAAGATAAATGAGTCAACATAACATCCTACTGTTAGGTGTGACTTTATAATTGTACTTTTTTTCCTAAGGCCTGACATTGTTAAGAAAACTAATATATGGCCCAAAAAACCCTCAAAAAACAAAAAACCTTTGCAAATACATTTTGCAAACTAATTTAAATTTAAGGTATTTACTATGGTCAATACATCTAAGACATAAACTTGGAGAAACAAGGAATTATTATTAAAAAGAGGACGGTAAGGAAAAAATAGCAACAATTGTATTCAAAGATGAAATTGAGGCCAGGGAGATGGCTCAGCGGAATAAGCACTTCCCTGGCAAGCACAAGGGCCTGAGTTCAATTCCCAGTTCTGAAAAAAAAAAAAAAAAAAAAAAAGATGAAATAAATGAAGAAACAATAACTCAAAGGAAAAGCAGCAAGACAGAAAAATTTAATGAAGGAAACCATGTTTAAAAGAGGAACATTCCACAGGCTGGGAATCAAAGATAAATAAGGAAGAACATTTTTGGAAGATAGGACAATATAAGCAAAGGGACAGCAGAAGAAGTACATTGTGGCTTTGTGAGACAGAAGGTAACATACAAAAGAGTTTAAGGCAATGATGGGAGTAAACAAATAGTAAAAATAATAAGAGATGGTCTTCATATATGTTTAGGAAAAAAATAAGTACTTATATAAATAGCTATATTCTTCAAATTATGTTTGAACATAACAAATTCTACTTTTCTACAGAAACAAATCTAAAATCTATACAAAACTGCTGGGTGTGGTGGCGCACACCTGCAATTCCAACACTTGACAGGCTGAGGCAGGAGGAAGGCCATGAATTTGAGGCCAGTGTAGGCTATACAGTGAGTTTAAAGCCAGCTTGACCCCATTTCAATAAACAAAAAATAAATGAAAATAAAATTGTCACAAAATTTTACTTTAAAAAAACTGGTTTTCAATATGAAATCTAGCAAAGCAAAGCCAAATGGTGTGGCAAGTTCAACATAAATGTGTGAAAAAACAAATAAGTTCAGAAGTGGGTTTAAAAAAGCAAAAGTCGTAGAATAAAGAAGGAAATAATGAAAGGAAGTCCTTATTTATACCCCCCAAATTTTAAAGGTAATGTTTTCAAATATCCACATTTTTAGCGGCCAGGATTTGATGCCCAGCGTGCCGTGCCAGCCCTGCCCCCACGGTACACTGAGACAGTGATTGAGACTGGGTGTGGTGGGGCGCACCTGTAATCTCAGAGCTTGGGAGGCTGAAAACAGGAGGAGCACTACAAGTCCAATCTATGTAGTGAGAGACCCTGAACACCCTGCAGATCCTGTACTAAACACCAAAAAAAAAAAAAAAAAAAAAAAAAAAAAAAAAAAATCTACAATTTTGAAACTAGGGTCAAAAATATTAAACTTAATATTGCTACATTTGAACACAGCCATATGAAAGTATTTAATGCAAAAAGTTTCCTAGGAGGAAACTCAGCTTTCCATACTAGTTTTTATAATTTTTATCTGGTGGGAGCTCACAGGACTACTTAACTCTTACCAGTAGTGGAGGCTAAGATTCCTATTTAAAAACCTGGAAAATAAAGCCAGGTATGTGGTGCATGCCTATAATCCTAGCACTCAGGAAGCTGAAGCAGGGATGTTTGCAAATAGCCTGGGCTATAAAGTGAAGGCCAACCTGAAACTGCAAGACCCTGTCTCAAAAAGACAATAATAATAATAATAATAATAATAATAATAACAACAACAACAATAACAACCACCCTGGAATATAAAGGTCCAAAATATAGGTGAAAGTAAAAGAACTTTTGAAAGCAAAAAAGAAAAACTGCAAATGGAAACAGTAAGAGTGATAAGCTTTGGTTTTACAGCTTAAAGATGCTACCTAATTTTCTCAGACATGGCAGGAGACCAGTGAGGGACATGGGGAAGACCTTACTGATAAATGCAACAAAGATGAGAGTTCAGGATGAACAAGCAATTGGAAATGCAAGGGGAAAGTGTAAGTGTCTAGTGAGAGAACAGCACAAAGAGAAAGATCTAAATTCAGAAAACAAATAACCCAAAGAGTGACACTTAAAACAGGGAAGGTTTTTCTGTGTAAATTACACCCCAGCATAAGAATGACCTTCAAGCTTTGAAGGATTTTAAGTTTTCACATGATTTTACTAAGAACTGCATCACTTAAGAGTAAGGAGAGCCTCTATCATCCTGATATTCTTTTTCCTACCTTCTTTTAGAAGTGTTTTTTCAAAAATAATGGCTACGATACATATGTAACACATGAAACCTGCTGTCATTAGTGGGTATTTAATATGGAAATAATATGAAACCAGAAAAAGGCAGAACAAAGCAACCAGTGAACAAAGGCAAGACTGGGCAAAGACGAAATCAATGTTAGAAAAAAATCCTGGGCTCTGCAGAATAGTAGAGGGGCAATACAAAGATGCTTCTTAAGGAGCCCTATCAAGCAATATCTATGACCCAAGGAGAAATTTACCCTCAGTCTATTTGACTTAAATCCCTTATAAAAGCACTGCAACTTCTCAGATGTACTGGCCCATTTCCAGGGCTCAGCAGCCTTCTCTGGCTAACAGTTACCATGGTGGAAAGAGTTTCCACAGCAGAGAAAAGTTTATCAGACAGCACTACTCTATAAAATGCTTCAAAATAAACTGAGACATTAAAACTTTCACAGGAAAAATGAAACAAGGAAGAAGAAAAGTGAAGTAGCACTTTGTTACTATAGAAATTTGTAGGTGATAAAATTGGAGCAAGTAGGCTTTAAAGTCTCATAGAACTGAGTTCAAACTCCAATGTAGCCACTTAACATTGTGCAACCTTGGAAAAATTATTCCATTTCCTAACACTTAAATTGAAGAGTGACGTAAGTATAATAATACTTCGTAAAATACATTTAAACACTCTGTAGACCCTTCACTAAAATACAAAAAAACAAAAAACAAAAAAACATTTAAAACTGTTCTCTCATAGGGTTTTTTTTTGGGGGGGCGGGGGTGTTGGGGGCAGAACCAGGGATTAAACTCAGACCCCTGTGCTTGCCAGGCAAGCACTTAATTCTACTGAGCCATCTCCCCAGCCCCTCACAGGGTTGTTATAAGGATGGAATGACAGAGAACTACTGACTATTGCATAGTACCCAGTACACAGTATAAATATTAGGAGTTTAACTATAACTAAAGATAATAATTTGGCAAATTGCCTATTTAGTAATAATGACTCCTAATTCCTTTTATTCTTTTTTTTTTAAATCCAGGGCCTTCAAACTGAACTACACCCCCCAGCCTCTATTTTGGAGATTGGATCTCACTAAGTCTCTAAGTTACTGAAGTAGGGCTTGAACTTGTGGTCCTCCTCCCTCAGTCTCCCAGGTGCTATAAGTACACAACTTTTCATTTTAAGATAATCTACTAATCACATCATTTGCTTGACTTTGTAAAGATATAAATACACTAAATCACTTTTTAAAATAAAATGATACATATCTACAATCTTAATAATAAAGATGTTAATCCTTACCTTAGATGAAATTATCCGATTATCTATAAATTTCTGAGGTGTATAAAGGCCATTCTGAGGAAATCTGTTGGCTACGTAAATAGTTCTTGTGTCACTTTGATGGGGTGGGTCAAAACCCTAAGACAAACAAAGAGAAAAAGTAATAGCAGTCAATAAGGCTAGTTGTTATGGAACTTCACTGCTGGTTTCACTTAACTGGTCAAATTACAAATACTACACTGGCCTTAAATGCAGATAGACTCAATCTATTTAAGGACTTAAGTCACTAATTGATTAATTTCTTTCAGAAGTAAAGAGGTACATTATCTTTAGATACAAAATAGTTAATATCGTCAGTAATGAAAAACAGCTCACACTCTATTAGAGAACCACTATAAGAAAATAAATACCATATAGGAGATCAACAGAAACATTTGAGGACAAAATTTCATCCTCTGTATTTCCCTTCCTTTTATTCCTGTGGGTCTCTTGCCTTCTCTCTGGATGGACTCCTACTGAGTATACAGAAAGTCCTGTGTAACTAATAAGCAAACTACCATGTTCGATGACAAAGATTTTCTTTTTTTTTTTTATCTCTCCTACTATACTTAGGTCTACTTGATTTCAAAGGGCTTTGCTACCAAAGGATACATATTAGTTAAATCTTCCCCAGATTCATTCTACACAATCATTTGTGTCAATTACAGTATCAACTGGCTTCCTGAAATATAGATAGCAATTGTCGTATTTCTTAAGACAGAACTCAGCCTTAAATACAGATCATCTCAAGGTATATGGGCAATGTCTCGTGAAAATTTTTCACTAGTGACGGCTATGTTAATGCATATATACTTTACAGTAGTGCACTCTGTTCTGGTGAATCTTCAAAACTCTTTTAACATATCTTGAGAATCCTCTGATAGGCTAAAAGCACCCCATGTATAAGATTCCTTTGGTTCTAACAGGCAAATGATTTGAAATTTCTTTGAAGTTTTTTGTTTGTTTGATGGTAGCCATGGCTTTTTACTAGGTACAACCTAAGTTACAGTTAGATTTTGTATTCATAACTACAGTGATCCATTTTTAATGCTACTAAAGACTGATAATTGTAATCTAAGTAATTTATCTGGCTGCAGTGTTAATTAACACACAGCACTCCTATAACATTTCTACTAAGCACAGACACATACAGATCTGGGAAACTCTGATTACCGCTCAGTTACACTGGGCCAATAACTTGCTTGGCTTGAGAACTGCTGAGGGGATAATAAAGGCCACTTCTGGATGTGTCTGGGGATACAGCTCAGCAGCGCAAGCACCTGCCTGGATGTGCCTGGGCAGATCTTGCCCGCACACCCCTCTCTGGCAGTTTCCCTACTCTTCACAGATACAGCAGCTTTGCCCCCCTGCTCCCTTGTGCCAAGATCATCTCTTGAGCCGTGGTGCCAACCAATCTTTGACCAAAACCCCTGGAACCACGAGGCAAATCAAACTCTCCTCCTTTATGTTTTGGGTATTTTGTCCCAAAATACAATTATATCTAGAGATATTTTGTTTAGGATAACTAATACTAATGATGTTAACTGCTAGTCTTGGTTTTTAATTTTTACTTTATGAAGTTAGAAACTGTATATAGGACTATATATATTATGTGCATCCGCGTGTTCCAAGAAATACATGATGTTTAATTTTATCTATTCTTACTTTTTAACCCCATGATTTTCAGCCACATGTGATAGTATATGCAAGTAATTCTAGCATTCTGGGAGGCGGAGGCAGGAGACTTGCAAGTCAGAGATCAATGCAGGCAACTTAGAAACAAAGCAAGACCTGCCTTAAAATAATAAAATAAACTAGGGCTATAGCTCAATGTGAAGGCCCTTGGCCAGGATGGTAGTGGTCCAAATCCTGTGATTTTCTACTCTGCTTTTGCCACAGTTTGAAATAGTGATAACTACACTTTTCTGGATGTGCTTATTATTGTATGTCTGATTTCAAAATCAGTTTCTTAAAAAGGAAAAGCATCCATGAATATCCATTTCCCTCATAAATTTTCTATTAGACATTTTTTTTGTGTGTTTTTCTATTTTTTTATTTTGCTCTCCAAATAATTCTTTTTTTTCCCATAATTTTATTGAGAAACAAATAGCAGTGAAACATTTCAAATCAAATTGGCAGGATAGTTTCAATAATTAACACATTGCATACTCTCTTCCTAGTGATTAATTGCTGTACAAGATGCGGACATGATATCCTATTTACAAACACCATTAGAATAAATCCCTCTATTCATTAAGAGAATGTAACTATCTATCTATCCTAACCACTTTGAATATACAGATACAAAATGGACATTCATCTGTATCCCTTTTTTGTTAAGTTCCGTTATTTGAATATTATAGGTGTGTAAACTCAGCAAAATATTCTAAAAGAGTCCAGTAGCCCATAATAGTATTG